CCTCGTAGGGGTTGCCAGGGGGAAGGGGGAAGGGAGAGGATGGTTGTGTTATGGACATCGGGGAGAGTATGTGCTATGGTGAGTGCTGTGAAGTGTATAAACCTGGTGATTCACAGACCTGTACCCCTGGGGCTAATAATACATTATATGTTAATAAAAAATTAAAAAATTAAAAAAAATTATCCTCTCAGGGAACAAAAAGGGAAAGCATTTATTCATTGGCTCCAGTCTTCCAGTGGGTCAAGGGTGGCCTCAGAGGCTGCCATTATTCTGGGCTTTTGGGCTTGTGTTCATATGAGAGTTGAGCAGTGTTAAAAGATAAACTGCGGCATCTTGAAACTTTCAAGAGTTTACTTGAGCAGGGGCGCCTGGGTGGCTCAGTGGGTTAAGCCTCTGCCTTTGGCTCAGTTCATGATCTCAGAGTCCTGGGATCGAGCCCCGCATCGGGCTCTCTGCTCAGTGGGGAGCCTGCCCCCCTCTCTCTATGGAAAGGTATTTATAGAGGAGATGTGGCGGCAAAGCAAGGACATTATTTGTTTGACTACAGCTTAGGTGGCTGTGGTTGGTTGTCCTTGGGTCTCCATTTCTTAACCTTGAGCACGTATAGGTTTCAATTTTGGTTTGCTTGCTGGACTGCCGTGCATGAGAGTCATTTCGGTCTAACGGCCTCCTGGTTTAATTAACTTAACAGCAGGTTCTCGTGGATGTCCTACCTTGTGAGGTTAGAGCAGCTGCAAGGCATAAAGCAGAAAGATTCCTGGTGTGAAACAGAAACAAGGCGGCCTTGGGCTGTACTTGGTCCGATCGGGCTGCCCAGTGTGGAGTAAAACAGAGCGAGTCAAAGAGTGGAGATTCCTGGGAATGGCAGTGTGTCTGCCTGTGTGGTGGCTGCCGAGGAGAACAGAGGGACAAAGGAGTCCCGAGTGAGACTGTGCAGACTCGTGCACAGGGAGCCAGTGAGAAGTTAATGCAAGAAGGTGAACCCAATCAGATTTGCGTTTTAGGGAAAAAAGCAACCAGCGGTCACAGGGCAGAAGATGGTTTAATGGGGGGTGTGTGTGGCCCGTGAGGGGAAGGGCCGTGAGACCTTTCAGGAGTTAACACCGACAGTCTGGCTGAGAGAATTTGTAGATCTAAAGAAAGACTGGCAGGTGGGGTTATCGAAGGAGAGATGCAGCGGGGAAACCTGCCCGTGGACGGGTCCAGTGACGGGCTTGTGCCGACTGAGTAGAGCAGAGTCTCCTTCTCTTCGAACCACAAGACGGAAAGATGTGATCCCAAAGTGAGGGCCTCCCTGGTTCTCCACCATGTGGAGAGACTGTACGTGGGCTCCTTTCAAACACTTAGATTATTGCTGGGAAAGACAATCTTTCAATACCTAACCATTAATGTACACCATTGTTTTCTTTCTTTTTTTTAAAAAAAGATTTTATTATTTATTTGACAGAGAGAGAGAGAGAGAGATCACAAGTAGGCAGAGGTAGGTGGCGGGGGGGGGGGGGGTGTTGTGGGGGCGGGGCAGGAAGCAGACTCCCTGCTGAGCAGAAAGCCAGATTCAGGGCTCGATCCCAGGACCCTGAGACCATGACCTGAGCCGAAGGCAGATGCTTAACCCACTGAGCCACCCAGGTGCCACTGTACACCATTGTTTGCATTTTGTTTTTCTCTCAGAGCTTGGAGAACAAGGAGTATGGGGTGTGTGGTGTGTGTGTGTGTGTGTGAGAGAGAGAGAGAGAGAGAGAGAGTGAGTGAGAGAGAAACTGAAAGAGAGGAAGAGACTGAGAGAGAAACTAAGAGAGAGACAGAAAGAGAGAGAATGACTTAATGCTGTGGAGTCCCTGTATCTAGTCTACTCTGAAGTCTGTTTTAAACCCTACTTTCCATGGCTTGACAGTTTGTGTATATGAACATATAATTTCCCCTTTTTGGCTTAAACCACTTGAGTTTCTCACAGGAGTCTTAACTAAAATAACATCTTTGTGTCTAAAGCTTTTTTCCTATTTTATTTTTTCAATACATAATCTTTTAAGGGAAAATAATGGGTCCAAAATTATCACCAATTTACACCATCTCCATAAAGGTATAATAACTCACCATACTCTTACAAGTGCTGAATAATACAATCTTTAAAACCTCTGTTAGTTTCTTAGCTTAAAAAAATCTTGTTTAAAATTACTTATTTTTAATTACCGGTAAGGTTGAAAATATTCCAGTTCTATTTGTTTTCTATCTTTTTTAAAAGTTGGTTCCACACTCGGTGTGGAGCCCAGTGCAGGGCCTGAACTCACAACCCTGAGATCAAGACCTGAGGTGAGATCAAGAATCAGACACTCAACCGACTACGGCACCCAAACACCCCTGTTTTAAATCTTTTTTGGGTAAATTATCTAGTTATGTCTTTTACCTATTATCCTTATTGGGATCTAGTCAATTTTTAAAAGTCAGTCTGTATGAATTTTCTCTGACGGAAGACTGTTAATTTGCCTGTCATATTTATTTCAGACATTTCCCCCAGATGAGTTGCTTGCGCTTAACTCTGTTTATTGTGCTCTTGGAGATACAGAAATAATAAAACGTTATGCATTTGAGTTTGTGTTTTCTTTCACAGCTCTTAAATTTAGCAGGAGATAAGCCTGCCCTGCTCTTTTGTCTTAATAAGTTGGCTACAAAAAATATTTTGAAGAAATGCCTTTTAAAAATAGAAATCTTCATCATTCTTGTGGCTGCCAAGGAGACTCTGCCTGGACCTTGTTTCCAGAAGGAACTCACCTGTCTGTGGTGAGGGGCTCCGTGAGCTGGCTCTCTACCAGCCATGCCCTCAGGATCTGCCACAGCATTTGAGTGGAGGCCAATCTCCTTCCGGCAGAACCAGCCAATGGCTGAGCATGGCAGGGCACTAGGCTGGGCCATCCGTGCCCCACACGGGACTCCTCTATGAGCATCTGTGTGCTACGGGAAATGTCCTCAGAGCTGTCCTGTGGTCTGGAGCTCTTTCCCCCTGTCTCCCTTCCTTCCCCTCTCCTCACAGGCATCAGACTGACATGGAGGTCTGCGGGTTTCCCTGCCTGCCCCCTGCTCCCTCTCCCTTTTGCATTTCATAAGCATTACCCACAACAAGTCTCTGGCACCTTTTTAAAAAAAAGATTTTATTTATTTATTTGAGGCAGAGAAAGAGAGCACACGTGAGGAGGAGGGTCAGAGGGAGAGGGAGAAGCCAACTCCCTGCTGAACAAGGAGTCCCAAGCAGGATTCGATTCCAGGACCCCAAGATCATGACCTGAGTTGAAGGCAGATGCTTACCCCACTGAGCCACCCAGGCGCCCCCAATCTCTGGCACCTTTATCTTCATTTTGTTATCTGCTTCTTGGAGAATACAAGTGAAAATTATTATTAAATAGTAAAGCAGTTCAGAGACACAACTGAGAAAGAACAAATCAAATTACGTTGTACATTTGAACACGTTCACTAGCACGTAAGTAGACGTAAGGTGTTCTGTAGCTGGCTGGCTGGAGAGATGGGGCAAGGGTTTTTGTTTGTTCTGTTTCCCACTTATCTACATACTTGTTCAAAGAATGGACAAATCACGTAGTTTTCTAAAAATGGGATGGAAGTATAATTTTTCCCATTAAGCAAAAAGAATATTGAGTTTAATTTTACCCAAATTTATCAGAAGGAAATGCTTTGGTAAAACCTAAGGGATTTCTGAACTGCATGAAAAGATTTCTTACCACCAAAGGTTTCTAGTAGGCTCACTCTAAGATTTTAAAGTTTTTAAAAAATTCCTGAATGCATTTTCTTTGACATTTTAATTTTTTTAGATGAATTTTTGAGTCCTGTCGGTAACCCTGAAAAGTTCCATGAGATTTAAAACATGGGAAGTCTTTTAACTTATAAATTTGTGATAGACTGATGTCCTTACACTATTCATTTTTATTTTTTTAACATACGTGTTTTATTAGTTTCAAGTGTACAATACAGTGATCCAACAATTCTATATGTTCCAAAGTGCCCACCAGGACAAGTGCACTTCTTAATCCCCATCACCTATTTCATTGTCCCCCCACCCACCTCCCCTCTGGTAACCATCAGCTTGATCTCTGTAATGAAGAGTCCTTTTTTGGTTTGTCTCTCTCTTTTTCTCCCCTTTATTCATTTGTTTTGTTTCTTAAATTCCACATATGAATGAAATCATATGGTATTTGTTTTTCTCTGGCTTATTTCACTTAGCACAACACCCTCTAGATTCCTCCATGTTGTAGCAAATGGCAACATTTCATTCTTTTTGATGGCTGTATAATATTCCATTGTAGATAACACACCACATCCTCTTTATCCATTCATCTGATGATAGACACTTGGGCTGCTTCCATAGTTTGGCTATTATAATAATGCTGAGATAAACTTAGGGGTGTGTATATCACTTCAAATTAGTGTTTTTGTATTCTTTGTGTAAATACCTACTAGTGAGATTACCGAATCATAGAATAGCTCTATTTTTAATTTTTAAAAAATTTAAAAAAATTATTTACTTATTTTAGCAGGAGAGGGTCAGAGGGAGATGGAGAGAGAGTCCTAGGCAGACTCCGAGCTGAGCGCAGAGCCCAATGCAGGGCTCAGTCCCATGACCTCCAAGATCATCACCTGAGCCCAAACCAAGAGTTGGACACTCAACCAACTGTGCCACCCAGGGGCCCTATCCATTTTTAATTTTTTGAGTAATGTCCATTCTGTTTTCCACAGTGACAGCCGCAGTTTGCATTTCCGCCAGTAGTGCACACAAGTTCTTTTTTCTCCACATTCTCACCAACACTCGTTCCTTTACTTTTTTGATTTTAGCCATTCTGACAGGTGTGAGGTGACATCCCACTGTGGTTTTGATTTGCATTTCCCTGATGATAAGTGATGTTAATCATCTTTTTTTTGTGTGTCTGTTAGTCATCTATCTGTATGGATTCTTTGGAGAAATGTCTGTTCATGTCTTCTGCCCATTTTTTTTTTTTGAAGGCCACTGACTTTATTGATTTAAAAAACTTTACAAGGACAGTGACTATTCTGCCAAAAAAGGAGCCAAATAGCATAAAACAGACCGGTGGGGGTGAAGGAAGGGCCAGGAATCCACTCAGAAAAGCCAATAATTGTTGACATGAAACTAGCAGGGGAAGGAGAAGGGAGATGCATGCAAAAAAGTTGAAATGGTGGGGGAGAGAACTCCCAAAAGACCTTGAAGTACATCAAAAGTGAGTACGACAACAGCAATCTCTTCATTTGTAGAGGACAAGGGAGGAGTCCTCACGCAGCTGCAAACTCTGGAGACTCGATGCTGGGGCTAGGGGCTAGGGGCTGGGGGCTCCCCAAAGAGAGCCTCACAAAAAGGCGTCGCACCACTCTCGAAGGCACCCAAAGCAGTCCCGGGACTGCTTGGCATTGGCACCACATGTGTCCTTCAGCCATTCCCGGAAGAGATCTTCATCTTTCTTTAGCACCAGAAACTGGCCAAGGACCACATAGGCCTTGTCAAAGCCCCTTTCCTCCAGCTTCTTGCCCAAGACTTCACCAATCCCGGCCAGGCTCCCCACTGGCTTTTCCCCCATGGGCTCTGCCACAAAGTCTCGGTGGTTTTGGGAGGTTGTCATCTTAATCAGCTGAACCAGCAGCTCCGGCTTCTGTAACGGCTCCTCCCGCCACCCGGCTTCTTCTGCCCATTTTTAAATGGGATTATTTGGGAGGGGGTTGGTGTTGAGTTCTATAATTTCTTTATATATTTTGGAGTCTAACAACTCTTTTTTAAAAGATTTTATTTATTTATTTGACAGAGATCACAAGTAGGCAGAAAGGCAGGCAGAGAAAGAGAGGGAAGCAGGCTCCCCACTGAGCAGAGAGCCCGATGCGGGGCTCGATCCCAGGACGCTAGGATCATGACCTGAGCCGAAGGCAGAGGCTTAACCCACTGAGCCACCCAGGTACCCCAGAGTCTAACTTTTTATCAGATATGTCACTTGTAAATATCCTCCCCTATTCAGGAGGTTTTCTTTTAGTTTTACTGGTTGTTTTCTTTGCAGCACAGAAGCTGTTTATTTTGATGTAGTTCCAATAGTTTATTTTTGCTGTTGTTTCCCTTGTCTCAGGAGACACACCTACAGCATTCATTTTTAAATCTAAAAATATAATGTTTCAGCAATTATGCAAATATAATGTATCTTTTCAACTTGGATTTGCATTAAAAATCATACCATGCAAATTTTAATAAAAATATTCCTATTCCTAGGTATTTCATAGCTTGTGAGAAGGTATGTACCATTTACAAGCAATTATGTGAGCTACTTGTTCTCATGAACGATCCAGGGTATGAGGACCCCAGGAGACAGAGGGAGGTGTAGAAGAGTTGTGGCAACACCTCCTTGTCTGATGGAGCCCTGCCTTCTGTACTGGGCGGCATATGCTGATCCGTGGGCCCTGGCTCATTTTTGTTCAGCTGATCTTCTTCTTCTTTTTTTTTTTTTTTTTTTGCCATTTTTAAATTTTTTTATTTTTTATAAACATATAATACATTTTTATCCCCAGGGGTACAAGTCTGTGAATCGCCAGGTTTACACACTTCACAGCACTCACCATAGCACATACCCTCCCCAATGTCCATAACCCCATCCCCCTCTCCCAACCCCCCTCCCTCCAGCAACCCTCAGTTTGTTTTGTGAGATTAAGAGTCTCTTATGGTTTGTCTCCCTCCCAATCCCATCTTGTTTCATTTATTCTTCTCCTACCCCCTTAACCCCCCATGTTGCATCTCCACTTCCTCATATCAGGGAGATCATGTGATAGCTGTCTTTCTCCAATTGACTTATTTCGCTACAGCAGATCTTCTTATTGGCATGGCCTTCTACCCACCAAAAGAGCTAAATACTATTTTGCTTTTCCGCCTCCCTTGCAATAAGAACCTGGACATAGATTCAAGCTTGCCATTAAAAGATAAAAAGAAACCTGTGGAGTTTCTAGAAAAGATGTGTGTGTGTGTGTGTGTGTGTGTGTGTGTGTGTGTGATAAAAGAGAGACGAGCAGGAAGAGAGCCCATGCCCTCACTTTCTCTTTGTCCTCGAATGCTGATGTGTGAGAATGCAGTGTTTGGCGCTATGGCAATCACCTTGCATCCTTGAGGGGAAAGTGAGGAGAATCCCACCAAAGCCATCCCAGAGGCACAACATCATCATGTCACTGCATTAACCAACTCTGGGATTGTCCAGTGGCATAATGGAATGTTATCATTCATGTTTCCTGTCACACGTAACCAAAGCATATTAACTGATACATTTTCTGAATCTGCCTTCCCTTCTTTCAGCTTGGTACCATACCACCCATTTTTAGTTGACAGTCTTTTCACTTAGAATGTCTGGGCAGCCTAGTCAATATCTCCAGATCTCCCCATTTCTAGCCTTTCGCTCTCCCATTCATTCCTCCTTCTATATTTGAACCTCCCTATTGCATTAGGAACCATGATTTCACTGGTCCCACCTGCCCCTGGGGAGAGACTGTCTTCCACTCTCACTCCGTACGGTACTGGACCACTTGCTAAGAGCTTAAAAACAACACAAATTTTACATGGCTGTTGTGCACCTGTGCTGTTTTGTCTGCTCGTCGTTTACTCTCCCGTCTTCTTGGTAGATGTGATTTGATTTCCCATGAGGAGCTGCCTCTCCTTTGCTTTCAATTCATATCGCATGGATAAGGTCGATACCATCCTTAGTGTTCCTGTCTTGGCTGCGCTTCCATTCTTCTTCTTTTTTTTTTTAATTTTTTAAATTTATTTTTAGCATAACAGTATTCATTGTTTTTGCACCACACCCAGTGCTCCATGCAATCCGTGCCCTCCATAACACCCACCACCTTGTTCCCCCAACCTCCCACCCCCCCAAAACCCTCAGATTATTTTTCAGAGTCCATAGTCTCTCATGGTTCACCTCCCCTTCCAATTTCCCTCAACTCCCTTCTCCTCTCCATCTCCCCTTGTCCTCCATGCTATTTGTTATGCTCCACCAATAAGTGAAACCATATGATAATTGACTCTCTCTGCTTGACTTATTTCACTCAGCATCATCTCTTCCAGTCCCGTCCATGTTGCTACAAAAGTTGGGTATTCATCCTTTCTGATGGAGGCATCATACTCCATAGTGTATATGGACCACATCTTCCTTATCCATTCGTCCGTTGAAGGGCATCTTGGTTCTTTCCACAGTTTGGCGACCGTGGCCATTGCTGCTATGAACGTTGGGGTACAGATGGCCCTTCTTTTCACTACATCTGTATCTTTGGGGTAAATACCCAGTAGTGCAATTGCAGGGTCATAGGGAAGCTCTATTTTTAATTTCTTGAGGAATCTCCACACTGTTCTCCAAAGTGGCTGCACCAACTTGCATTCCCACCAACCACATCCCCTCCAACACAACACATGTTGTTTCCTGTCTTGCTAATTTTGGCCATTCTAAGTGGTGTAAGGTGGTATCTCAATGTGGTTTTAATTTGAATCTCCCTGATGGCTAGTGATGATGAACAATTTTTCATGTGTCTGATAGCCATTTGTATGTCTTCATTGGAGAGGTGTCTGTTCATATCTTCTGCCCATTTTTTTATACGATTGTCTGTTTTGTGTGTGTTGAGCTCTTCCATTCTTCTAACCATCATTGATTGGTTCATGCATGAGCAGGGGACACAGTTTGAGCTGTGAGCTCCAATCCTGGGACTTTCATTTTAGCTAAATGGAAAGAAATCTACACTTTTTGCTGAGATTACCAGAGTCAGGTTGAAGTGAGCCTGGGGCTTCTGGGGCCTGTAGAAAGTTGGGCTAAGGAGAAGCCAAAGCAGAAAAATACCAAGCAGGAAATGAAGAGAGAAAAAAAAGCCAGGCCTGATGACATTGTTTGAGCCCCTGGAATTTTCTATCAAGTGACCAATGATTTCTTTTTCTTTTTTTTGCTTGGGTCAATTGGACTTTAGTTCCTTTTTAAAAATTTTTTTCTTCAGATTTTTATTTAAAGTCTCGTTCATTAACATATAGTTTAATACTGGTTTTGGGAGTAGAGATTAGTGATTCATCACTAATACCTATAACACCCAGTGCTCGTCACAAGTGCGCCTTGGTACCCTCCACCCATTTAGCCCATCCCCAGCCCCTTCCTTCCATCAACCTTCAGTTTGTTCTCTATTGGTAAGAGTCTTATGGTGTGTTTCCCTCTTTCTCCCCCTTTCCCATATGTTCATCCGTTTTGTTTCTTGAATTCCACATATGAGTGAAATCATACAGTATTTGTCCTTCTCTGACTGACGTATTTCACTTAGCATAATGCTCTCTAGCTCCATTCATGCCATTGCCAATGATAGATTTCATTTTTTTGTTAAAGATTTTATTTATTCATTTGTCAGAGATAGAGAGAGAGAGAGAGAGCACAAGTAGGGGGAATGGCAGGCAGAGGGAGAGGCAGGCTCTCTGCTGAGCAAGGAACCCAACATGGAACTTGATCCCAGGACTCTGGGATCATGACCTGAGCCAAAGGCAGATGCTTAACTGACTGTGCCCAGGTGGCCCAAGAGTGCATCATTTTTGATGGCTGAGTAGTATTCCATTGTGTGTGTGTGTGTATGTGTGTATGTGTATGTGTGTATACATATACACACCCCCACATCTTCTTTATCCATTCATTAATCAGTTGATGGACATTTGGGCTCTTTCCATAGTTTGGGTATTGTTGATAATGTTGCTATAAATATCAGTGGGAATGTACCCCTTGGAATCTATATTTTGTATCCTTTCGGTAAATACCTAGTAGTGCAATTGCTGGGTCATTGGGTAGCTCTATTTTTAACTCTTTGAGAAAACTTCATACTGTTTTCCACAGTGGCCACACCAGTTTGCAGTCCCACCAACAGCATAAGAGGCTTCCCTTTTCTCTGCATCCTTGCCAACATCTGTTATTTCCATGTTGTAAATTTTTGTCATTCTGACAGGGGTGAGGTGGTGTCTTATCCTGGTTTTGATTTGTAGTTCCGTGATGATGAGTGAAGTTGAGCATCTTTTCATGTTATGTCTGTTGGCCATCTGGATGTCTTCTTCAGAAAAATGTCTATTCATGTCTTCTGCCCATTTCTTAACTGGATTGTTTGTTTTTTCAGTGTTGAGTTTGATAAGTTCTCTATAGATTTTGGATGAGTTTGCTTCTTGTCACTTGGACTTGCAGCCACAGAAGTCCTGATCACCAGAGCCCCTGCAAATTCAAGGTCCAGGCCTCAATGACTTTTGGGTACTGAAAGCTTATTACACCCACCTCCTAATCATAGGTCTTTGGCTCCATCTGTGTCCCCACCTCAGGGCCTCTCAGTGCCTCATGTATATATGCTCTGGACAAGGTCAACCACATTCTTCAGCTCCAGTCTCTAGGTGATGTCTTCTGCTCATAAGTCACCGCTGTCTGAGCTGCCAGGGTCCTGCACAAAGACTGACCACTCTATTGTATCATCTCAGTTTAGACACCATTACAAATGCAAAGGAGCTGCCAAAGATGAGAAGGTAAAATCCATTCAGTGTATAACAGCACTGAAAACTCTCAGAGCCACAAGAAGAAATGTTCACGATTTATTCCCAAAGAGTGCATTACACAGAAAT